ACATTCTCAATTCTTTTTCAATACGGTTTTCTTTACTTTTAATTCTAATAATTATCTTTTCACATTTTTTGAACATGAAACGACATGAGCAACCCAAAAATCATGTTTTATTCAGCTATGAAAAAGAAGGCTATTATTAACACACCTCGGAAATTCATATTTCGCCTCCGCAACGCGTACTCGTACGGGGTCACTAAATCCGCTAACCTTCACAGTAAGAGATTCCAGTATTTTTACAACCTAAATAGGCAATTGCGTAGCTAAGAAAATTGAGAATGAAGAAAAAAAGGAACGATTGCCTGTCGCATAATTTTCTTCGAAACAAGGTCTGCTTCCAAAGTTACACCTTCAAGAGAACTTTCCGTGACACGAATTGACGCAAACTAGAATATATCAAACTGAATTATTAGATAGATGAAGAAAATATGGGAAGAACTTAAGTACTTACTTCTAGAGGAGCTATACCTTTCTTCAACCGTTCCATGAGATCCCAATTTGAAATTGACTGGCCAGGAATGGTGAACTGAAATTACAACTCCTAAGATTTTTGACTACACCTTCCGAAAATTTCAACTGAACCATATCGAGTCACAGCATTCGCGTCACTAATATCTAAGAAGAAGCGAATAATAATCACAGGAAAAGAATGCATTTTGCATGAATTTCAGGCATATCTATCTCTATTAATTTCTATCTCTATTTCTACTTAATTGTAGCCTCCCCTATAAACCTGCTTTTACAGATAAAGTACATGATAATAAGAGTAACAAAGATATACGATACACAATGATGATTATAAAAAGAAAAAGAGAAATGCAACATCATCTCCGAGTTTAAACAGGCAATGTATTGAACAAATAATCTGGAAAAAATGGCGAGAATTAAACTGACCTTGGGCAATTTTATTGTGATTTCTATCCTGGCCAAAGGACTAAGGTACAAATCCTGCTTTGGGCAGAATGTTTCAGCTTCAAATCCTATCGTTAGATCTTGCATTGATCCAGATATTTCCTACCCGTAAAAACAGCCTTATCTGGAATAGACAAGCGATTTGGGTGTTAAAAAAATTTACTTCTTACAAGAGTAGCTAGAGTGACCATTCTCAAAAATGTGCACTAATTAAGGGGACTTAAAAAGCTAATGCCAAATCTGGTATCTGCAAATGATTTCTTGAAGACAACAGAAGCCTTCTTGTGTTTAGAAAACATGTCAGATTCTAACAACTAGGATCTTAACAAAGAAAGTTAAATATTTTCGGAAATTCCCTGAATAAATGCTTTTGTCCGTTGCCATAGTTATCTAAAAAACCAGCAATAGCTGGTAGGTCGCTTACGTATTCTGCACACAAAAACTTCCACGTTTCCTTCGATGTTTCGTAGATAAGGAAGAAAAGCAGCAAATTTAACGTCCGTTCGCACTAAGTAGCGCACACAGGAAGCTTTTTTTTTTGAGAAAAGAGGCTCCTTTAT